TCTTCACACACCCACACCACCCCCATCACACAACCCCGCAACAAAACTCTACATCTTATATACCGGGTTACAAACAAATGCTATTTAGTCAATAGATACTGTTTTCATTTACTCGTTCGTTATCTGACCAGCTTCAATCTTGTAGGCTACTCACTTCGTTTCTTGTAGCCCTCGAAAGGGTTTTGGAGGTTGATGCTCACCGTCGATTTTCTCTTATGCTCCAACCAATATACAGTCTATGGCTCCAACACACAGTTGCACCGGGTGCAGAATAGTTTCCCCCCACTTTTTCCCCGGTCTAGTAGAAATGTTCGTCGGTAAATGAGATGGATTAGATATTTTCATCTTGGTGTTTTCTCTATCGTGTGAGCTCCACACGTTCACTCTATACAGTGTTGTTTACATTCTGTGATGCGCGAGCTGATGACGTCACGTCAAGACGAGTTCACTTTTTTTTTTCTCAACTTTGTGGAAAAATGCGGGGATTATGCGGCCTTTTAAAAATCTGCGCCATTTTGCTGATTATGCGGTAAATTCTGCGATCGCAGAATCGCGTTTTTCTGGAGGGTCTAACTGATAAACACCGAGAGACATTTGATATCTCCGTACAGATGTTAAGAGCCTCATGTTCCCTCGCATCGTTTGTACCTCAGGATCATATCACCGGGTCTGGAAACTGTGAAAGTCTGCATTTTATTGTAAAGTGGTGAATATTTACAGACTGTTGCAAAAACTAAGAAGCTTTTAAATCTTAGGTTTCAAAGTAAAAGAAACCCAATGCTGAAGTCATGAATCTGCATGTCTGGGTCCGAGAGAAGCTGGAGAGGATTCATTCAAATGCTCCTCTCTGGAAGTCTCCATCAGGCTTTCTCCTCACACCTGTTGCTCAAAGCGTACCTGCCCATATCTACACGACTGATGACGTGTATCTTATCGATCCCAGATCGATCCGTAATCTACCCACATGGTTTTATTCTAAATACCCCACGCCTCTCGGAGAGGAAGCTCACACGCCGTGCTGCTCTGATCAGAGACGGTTCCTCCTGAATGTCCCGACACTCAGAACATGGATCATACCGTGTGCGCTCAGACAGGAAGTGAAGCTCCACCTAGTTTCTCTCTCTTTTTTTTTCTTGCATCTCTTTGTCTCTCTCTCTCTCTTTCTCTCTCTCTCTCTCTCTCTCTCTCTCTCTCCCTC